TGTGAAGATCCATTGTTGTACCAAGGTCCACCAAGTTGTATACCTATTCCAAATTATGGTTACCTTTTGTATAAGCAACGGGCTGGACAGGTTTATACGAGTCGCGTATTACTTCAAATTTTTGCAGATTTAGAGGCATACGATTTAGATGATCTAAGTTTAACTGGTACTGAGAAACCGGCTCGTAATGTAGGAATTAGGTATTAGATTCTCGAGGAAATATAAAGTATCCGATTCTTGCAAGTAAGCATACTGAGTCTCTAAATCTGTGCCACAGAACCTTGAAAATGTGGTGGATTTCAAAATAAAAGTGTTGGAAGTTTGTTAATCAAAAGTTCAAGCTTTGTAAAAAAATTAGCCAATTAGCAAACATTTAAATTAAAATTTTTAGAAACAATTTTGCTATGCGATTTTTTAGCCCATTAAATTTTAGTATAATGAAAGTGCAAGTTATCGCGTTGAATTTTAACAATTTTTTTTTTTGTTGAGAGTTTTTTTATCACATAAATACGTACATAGTTTTTAGAGTTGGACAGTTATTCGCTCCCAAAATTAAAAAATGAAGAAAATATAGTAGAGATCAGTTCCTTTATGGTGTATCTGGTAGATCCTCAAAAAAGTGGTACATCAACCACAATGTGATAGAGAAATCCGATCACTGACGTCAGCTAAAAAAAAAAAAACTGATTACAAACTGCATCTGCTATTTATTCATATTGCATATCTTTAGGCGCCAGTGCTTTTGTTTTGAATAATTTTGCATTGCGATTGTCAGAATCCCGCTGATGTTCACTCAATGTTAATAAAATTTAAGCAGATCTTCAGATCATTTCTCCCTTAATGGGATAACCGCTAAGGGAGACTGACTTTCCTTCACTTGCCAATTACCAGTTGCCGTCAGTTGGCGTAGACGAGAAACGGCTGGTTTAGGCGTATACAATAGCTTATGCATTGTATTACCACGCTCACTCTTTTGGTGTGCTGCGAAAGAACCCTGCTGGAAATTGAATTAGTTTGAAAGTAATTTATACACTACTTCATTTTCAATGATAACTATTGGAAATTCTCACTATTTTATCTGCAACGAACTCATTTATTCAACGTGGCGATGTCCTAGGAAGCAGTCAATTGCCTTTTCCTGCATGTATTTTCAACTACTTTAAAATGAATTTGGCTTAAACAACTTCAAAGTCAGTATGTTTCTCTTGAACACGCTTGCATTCTGGACTTCACAGATGCTTTTTCATACATCCAAGACACAGATTGTTTTTTTGAGAAAAAAGAGTATATAAATTCAAAATATTTACCCATTGCATTTGATATAAAGTAGTCTGTCAATTAGTTGATATAAAAAAAAATCACTTTTTTCGGTCAGTGAAGTATAAAGCCAAATACAGATCAAGTTCTAAAATGTTATCTAATTTTGATGAGACATGGTTTTCAGGTATGTATGTATGTACATTAGGAGGCGTCGTATCACTGTAGATCCCTCCATTCGCATAAATAGTTAATAATATCAAGATGTACACCACAAATTTTAGGAGAAGCTCAGCCAAACATTTAGCAAGATTGTAAGCGCCAAATATTATTACAAACTGCATTTGAAATTAAGTCTTTGGGATCTAAACACATTTTCTTACCTTCACTACCTACACAGCTAGAGGAGCTATATAACAAAAGCTCATATCTGATCAATCACTTGATTGGAAGATATACCTTATAAGACGCCGATGAAAATGATTCTCTCACTAAGCCTTGTATGATCGATAACTAAACAGGTCACCATGACCTTGCCATGGTTCTCAGGAATATACCGTCCAAATTTGGTTGAAATTCGTTATACATATATATAAATGTAGCCGTTTTCTTTGTGACCAATTGGTTCAAAACCAAATTAACGAATTTCAACCAAATTCTTATTATTTACAGAAGTATGTCCATCACTGATATCGTCGAATATCGCGCGATACCGTGGAAATTTTCTTCATTCATAATCATTAATCCCAAGATAAAAAGTTATAAAATATGTGATCACGTGCATGATCTAGACATTTCATTCACATGGAAGGTTTTTAAGGCTTTGACCCAGACGACGTGCACACGTCATTTGTAGGTATTACCGGTATTCCCACGCTATAAAGTCATAAACCTATTTAACTAGACAGCATACCAGAAGAAAGTGAAATCATACATAGCGCAGATAAAGTACAACTATAATGATATACATATATACAAATCTACGTATATAGATATAGGGTGTTTCAATAAGTACGCAGATGTTTAAAATAATGCCATTGGTTCATGCGCTTTGCGGCAAATCGCACCGTCCTGTGGAAACCACATATTGTCCAAGTCCATGTCATCTAACGTCCGCTCACCGTCAGAGCGGCATAATTTTCGAAGGAGGATAGTCCGGAAACACACCGAAGAGTGACTTGCTGTGGCTTTTTCTTTCCGTGGTACAGTTATTTTTTTTTAAATCAGCATCAATGTTAACGCGTTGTTCAACTGACTAAGTTTGCCTAAGCCTGTAGTATGAAAAAAACAAAATCATATCAAAAATTATTACTATCAAAGATCTGCATCGCCCTTTTTATCACCCTATATTTATGTCTTCATAAAAACCCGGCAAACTTAAATAGAGACATACAAGGCAACAAAATTTCAGTATCCAAATGTCTTTTTAAGCTTTTGGTGTTACTGTGGTTTATCCGGAGAAGCTGGACAAAGTAGAATTATTAGACGGATACATGCACAAATTTAAGTACAGTTGAAAGGCATATTCAAACTTTGACAAATAATAATGGTAATTAATTATGTGTAAAGAAATTTAATAAAAAAACATCCTACTAAAAATAAATAAAAACTAGAAAAAACTTAAGGAGCGTAAGTTGCAAACTTTTTTAAATTCCTTTTCAATCAGAGCTCCTGACAACAAGGCAATAGTTCTACAGTTCCCAAATTAAATTTTCAATAATTCTGTTAATTAAAGCAAAAACAGTTCTGATACGATCTACTCACAAGAAATAAGGACTTCCATTGTGGACTAATCTATGTCCATACTTATTTCTAAAATGTAGTCTTCTGTTACCAAACGATAAATCCTTTAATAGTTTATCAAATTTAATGAATGTGATCTCATTTTGAAAGGAAGAAGCTCACAGGCACGCAAAAGATAGTCACGTTGCTCAAATTAAGTTATTTATTAAAATAAACGGGGTTTTAAAAAGCTGAAAGCACTGTATCCGGTCAATAAAGCGCCATATTTTCCATAATACGCCATAAAATTACATAACTGAAATACTATTTTGAAGGACAGCTTCAGCGCTGGGGTAAAAAATAAAAACTTTTTAAAAGTGTTGTCACCCGCTGAAGGTTTTAGTAACATAAAAATATATCGCATAAAATATTGCAACGCAGTCAATGGTATTATTGGCATTTAATTGTACTCTTAACCAGAAGTAACAATTCTGAAAAGGGTTGCCAACTATTTAAAAATTTAAATATCTATATAGATGTATAAAACAAAGCTACTTACGCAATACCGAGCATAGTTCTGTGTTTGTCTCTGTCCATGAAAAATTTGAAAAAGTTTTCTGAATAGAAAATTCCGTAAAATTCATTTTCCATATATTTTGTACTCGAAATTGTTTTATTTCCAAAAAAACGTAGATAACGAGAAGGGACAACTCGTTATAATTGTGGCGAAAGTGCGCAACAGGGACGTGCCTTCTCTCTTCATCCAATCAAAAAACGCACTAGGGCAAAAGGGAAGACATGCCCCTGTTGCGCACTTTCGCTACAATTATAACGAGTTGCATTTATTTAGGTTATGTTCGGTTAGGGAGCGCTGTAAATTGCTACAGTTGCTGTATTTGAAAAATGTATTATGAAATTTTGATTAAAAATACAAAATCAGCCTTATCGTAAGTTTCATTTTCCACGAACCGGTTCCCTTTTCACTTTTCGTTTCCGTGTATTCGCTACGGGCGGCTGAAAAAATTTCGGGCGAAACTCACGATAAAGCTGTATGATAGTCTGAATTCTTCGACATAGTACTCTAAGTGTACGTAAACCATTCGCCGATCAGAGTATAAAAAATTGGCTCACGCGACGGTAATCTACAAAGATTGGCGATTAGCAGTGCAAATCAAAGCTCTTAGCAACGCGGCGATGTATGTTACGATTGGTCCAACTGATGTGATTTTCTAATTTTAGATTCGGATTCCCACTTTCGCTATCGCTAAAACTCCATCGCAAAATGCATTTGAAAAATGAATTTTAGAAATTTTTCGCGGCTTTCGCGTGAGTGAACTGTGTAAAATTAGCGACGATCAACTAGCGCAAAGTTTCACAACTAATTTAATCACAACTAAACGGTCTGCTTCTAAGGATTTCTAGCACGGTGAAATAATATGGTGCCGTCCAGCTGGAATAACAACATATCTCGGCGTTTTAAGAACGTCTCCCCATTACAAGAAAGGCAATAGACAAAAGATGGACACGAAATCTTAAAGTTTGCAGCTGGATCAGTACATAGGAAGTTAGTAATTGTTATTAGGGATAAAGCAGTTAACCTCGGTCTACTCTTGAATATAAAGCAATTGAATGGAAACTTCGTAAGTGGCGTAAAAGGAGACACACCTAGCGAAGCTCTGATTTCGTTTCTGAACTTTCTGCTAATATTGCCACCGAGAGAAAATTGGAGCTTATGTCATAGGCGCCGATGCGATTGATGCATGTCTGGTCGTCGCTGCGTAAATAATCGTATCTAGTATTTTACGAAATGACTTATTTTTTGCCTTCCACTGAGAGGGATATCTTTGTGGCAAAGTTACTTGTAGACCAAACTTCCAAGCCATGCTTTCTCCATGTACAGATGATTTCAAACCTATAGAAAATTTTACCAGATATCTTCATTTTTATTAAAAGTTGAGGGAATTTCAAGGTGAACAGAAATCCAAATTAAATTTTATAAGAACTTATTTGAATTACATAGTATGGTGGTTGCACTACCGCCGGTGAGTTAGATGCCCAGGCTTGTTTTGCATGTTCTCTGATCCAAATAAAGTGATATCAAAATTATTTTACGAACTACAATTATAAGTTTTCGTTAATATTTACATTTGAATTTTGTTTATTTCGTTTACAATAAGCACTCGAAACTGCTCTTTAGACTACTAGCACTGGCTGTACTTGTGGCTCAGGCACCCACAATTGATGGCGCTAGAATACTCGCCGTATACGCACACCCGGCCAGTAGTCACTACCAGATGCATCGAGTTTTGATTAGCGAGTTGGTGAAACATGGCCATCAGGTAGCAACAGTGTTATGTAAAATTGTTCGCTTTTTTATTAAATCAAACACGCTTTTTCCCACCTTTGCATATTTAGGTGACCATGATCACCGCATTCACACTTGAGCCACTCAAATTGGGCAGCAATTATACGGAGATACTCATTGAGCCGGTGTACGATTACTGGAAGCTACGTGAGTTGCACCTATATACTTTCCTTGCTAAAACTTTCTTATTATTAGATTTTTCGTTGCAAATCGATTACAGTTAACAAAAATTCCGATACAAGTACAGTTTACGAAATGAAAAATGATGCCTTATCAATATTTAAAATGGTTGAGATGATGGCTTTGGAGACTACCGAACACGCCTTGAAACAACGTAAAGTCCAGTCAATTATTAATGCGACAAAGACCGATGGCGTCTACGATTTGCTACTGGTGGAGCAGTTACATCAAGAAGCTTTTCTTGCCTTGGCTCACATTTATAAGGTGCCTGTAGTGAGCTCTCTAACTTTTGCCAAGCAACTGTACATGAGTCAAATGTTCGGCATAATTTCACCATGGTCATACATACCACATGGTCTACTTCCACTTACTGAGCGTATGAATTTTTGGGAACGAGTTTATAATAGTTATATTTCATTACACAATGATTTTCATTTTCAATTTAGTTATTTTCCTAAAATGGACGTTCNCTGTAGTGAGCTCTCTAACTTTTGCCAAGCAACTGTACATGAGTCAAATGTTCGGCATGATTTCACCATGGTCATACATACCACATGGTCTACTACCTCTTACTGAGCGTATGAATTTTTGGGAACGAGCTTATAATAGTTATATTTCATTACACAATGACTTTCATTTAGAATTTAGTTATTTTCCTAAAATGGACGCATTGGTGAAGAAATACTTTGGACATTTGCCAAGTAAGAAGCAAATATTACCCTATTACAGTCGTTATTATTTACTAATATTTTGTTTTGAAATTATTCGCAGTTCTATTTCCCAGTATTTCAGAGATGAACAGGAATCTCTCTGCTACTTTCATCAATAACTACACTCCTTTAGCGTCCGCAACACCAACAATGGATAACATAATTAATGTCGGTGGTCTGCATATCAATCATCCGAAGCCATTACCCGCCGATTTACAAATGTTCTTAGATGACGCCGAACAAGGCGTCATTTACTTTAGCTTCGGTACACAAGTACATGCCAAGGATATGCCGCTTGAGAAGCTAAACATATTCATCGAAGTCTTCCGCCAGCTAAAACAACGCGTTTTGTGGAAGTTCGAAAATGCCAGCATACCAAATTTGCCAGCCAATCTTATGACTAGAGACTGGTTGCCACAAAATGACATTTTAGCGCACCCTAATGTACGCGCTTTTATCTCTCACGGTGGGCTATTTGGCACCCAAGAAGCTGTTTATCATGGCGTACCGGTGCTGGGTATTCCGTTCCTCTTCGATCAGGTGAACTTAAAATGAACCCACACAAATTTGTTTTCGAGCACTTTAATTTCTTTCTCACTAACCAATTTTCCTTCACCAGCATTTAAATTTGAAGAAAGCTGAGTTTGGTGGATATGCCGTGGTATTGGATTTCCATACGCTCACACGGGAATCTTTGAAGCGTGGTCTAGAGCAGTTGCTCTTCAACGCCACCTATCGGGATACATCCAAAAGGTTCTCGCGTATTTTCCGCGATCGTCCAATGGGTCCGCGTGAGACCTTACTCTATTGGATCGACTATGTTATACGTCATAATGGAGCGCGTCATTTGCGCGCTGCTGGCATGGATTTGAAATGGTACCAATTCTATTTACTGGATGTTGCTGCTCTGGTGGTGGCTGTTGTGGCAGTGGCAGGTGGATTGGTTAATTTCACAATACGTTGGGTCATCCGTAGATTAAACAAGTGGGGCAGCAAACAAAAAGTTCAATGAGAAATTAAAATCATCGATTGGATTTACGGGTTAAACAAATACCTGGCTCTTAAATTATTACTGGGTGAGTTTCACCGAGTGACACAATATACTGTGGTTGAGGCGTAAACATATGTACATATCGTCGCTCGAATAAAGAAACAGTGTAAATGCCACTATTATTCGATAATTGCACCATTGGATAGACAATCCTTTACTCTACTAGAAAAATCTTTAGTTTTCTTAAATATCTCTTTGGCTCACTAATTTCTTCCCGAAAAACGAAACTGTATCTGTATGGTTTGTAATGGTTTATAAAAACTTCCAATTCGTTTTTCTCAAAACTATACCTTTCATGTTACACTATCTCATTATTCCAGCGACGATATATAAAACGTTCCTTCTAATCCGACACCCGTTTCGCTCATATCAGTGTTATTTATCAAATTTTAAATAGTTTTCGCTCAAATTTTTAGTAAGTTCTCTTTTTTTAGCATTATTTTGGCAAGTGTCAAACTGGTAACACTTGAAGTTAGATATCAGTTTAATAAAAAACTGCTGATTTGATGTGAAAATTTATTATATTTTTAATAGGAGGACCTCATTTAAAAAATGGGAAACTTAAGAATTTGTATGTTACGTTAAGAAATATATATTTTGCTGTGATGGGTGGGACATCCAATAAGCATTTTTTTAACACTTATAACTTCTCACCGTATATGTGGTTTTTCTAAAAGCTTACCACCATTGTAAAGCTCATGAATTTTTCTTTCGATTCGATTAAAATCGAAAATAAATTAAAACGATTTAATAAGTTGTAAAAAGCTGAGTGTTTTATTAAAGGATACGTTACACCACGCTCAATTTTATTAGGATCCACGTTTGACAAATATGTTTACGTGGTTACGTATTATTCTCGTGAAAGCTCGGTTAGTCTAGACTTAATTTCCGTAACTTTACCTAACTTAATATTTTAGCCAACCTATGTTGTATGAGAAACTGTATTGGCGGTTAGTTAAAGCTTAAATTAACGTAAGCAACTTAAGAACCTGTAGATTTTAGATTCTTAAGTCACGGCCTTAAGGAAATTGAGAGCGGTGAGAGAATCAGGCTTACCAAGTTTTTGTTTTTGTATTTCTCAAAATTAAATGTACGCAAACATATTTTTTCGCATGAACTTTTTTGATGTGACATTTTAGGCGGCAAACTGTCAAAGAGCTAAAAGATAAAATACAAAAACAAAATATTTCCACTTCCGGCTTAAGTTGACATGCTTAGTAACCATTGATGATTTCTTACGGTAAGTTAAATTAAGTTAACTCTAGACTAGCTGCGCTTTAAGTTAATCAGTGCAGTGTTGCAGTGCGGTTGCTTATAAACTACTCCAGGTTTGTAAGTCGCTTTTACTATTCATGTCAGGATTGTGCATTCATTTGAAATCTTCATTTGTCACTAACGCTGTTGAAGATGTCATCTTATGATGAATGATCTCAAGGTTAGAGGGATCAGTCTGCAATTTTTTTATGTTACTGGGAAACGAAATTAGTATGGGACCACCTAGGAGGTAACACCTTTCCTTTAAAAGACGAATTATTAAAATCGGTTAACGTGGCATCCCTAATACATGCAAGTTTGATGTTTCGATCTAAAAACAATTTTTGTTAGGAGTGTCCAATTGTAGTTAGTACTGAATTAGTTCCGTTCGTTTAACAATAGTTCAATGAATTGAATGAACTAGAAGTGACTTAATCCTTGCACTGAGCTAAAAAAAATCCAACTCTAATACACACATATGTTTGTACATATGCGTATGTCTTCGGATAGATACCGCGCAACATTGTGGATCACTTTTTATCATTCATAATCATACTGTAATTATACTCTCAAGATAAAAAGTAATGAAAGATGTGAACCGCTGAGACTGTAGACATTTCATTCGCATATAAGTTGTTAGTAGCTTAGGAAGACGAAGCTTTTATTTTCCACAGTGAAGTTAAATCGTACATAGCGCAGATAAAGTACAACCCCATTGACATTACATATGTACAAATCCATGTATTTGCACACATATAGGGTGATTCAATAAGACCGCAGATGTTAGCAATAAAGCCATTGCTGCGTGGGCTGTGCGGCAAATCGCACCGTCCGCTCACCGTCAGAGCGGCATTATTTTCGAAGAAATGTGATCCGGTGACTCCGCTAACCTAAAAACCATACCAAACAGTGGTTTCACTTTGGGTGCATAGATTTTTCTTGCAGTGGGTACAGTTTTGCTTGTCTGGATACGTTGGCGTTTAGGTGAGAATGTGTTTATGTTTTTTTTTTTTTAAATCATCAGCAACGTTTGGATCCCTTTTAAGCGTTGTTCAACTGAGTTGTTCCAGGATTTAAGCTTGCCTAAGCGTGTAGTATCAATTGTTTGAAAATAACGCCTAAATATATCACAAATAATTGCTGTCAAAGATCTGCATCACCCTTGTATCACCCTATACATATATACTTATCTTTAGGGTAACCACCTTTTCTGATGCGCAAGCCCCGAGATTAGAAAATAGAATTATTAGTTTTTTTACTTTTGTTGGCTTTTATTAACATTTCTTAACAAAACTTAAATTTAACAAACAATTCTTTAACAGTGGAAGGTCAAGCACATATTTTCTTACAGTCAGCTGCTGTGGCTGAGCGGCTAGAGGTGCGTACTGCGACTCCGTGGCACCTGGATTCCATCACGAGTTCGAGCAACATCTAAATTAGGAAAGGTTGCCCCCCATTAATCAATGGGAAACCTCTGTGTGTATTTATGTCATGAAAAAGTTTATAATAAAATAAATTTGCCCCTTTTTCCGACAACGTCAAGCCACAGTCGACAAATCGTAGGAGAAGCTTGGCCAAACACTTAGCAAAAGTGAAAGTACCAAAATTTGTATGTCTATTTTCCCCCCTTAAATCCGGCGGTATGCAAGATAAACACACTAAAAAAATATTTAACAAAATAGATACCTGGGATAGAACAGAACCAGAAAAATCCAATCTGGCAACCCTGCCTATCTTCATAAAAACGTCTGACTTAAATATAGGCCTATAAGTAAATAAAACTTCAGTATCAAAATATCTCTATAAGCTTTCGGTGCTCTCGTAATTACCTGAAAAAGTGGAATTATTAGACGGATACAAAAATAAAAGGAGATTATAAAATTAAGAAACATTCAAAATGAGACAAATAATAATGGTAATCTTTTTATATATAAAGTAAAGTTGCAATAGTGATATAACAGATTTACTCATTTATTTAAAATTATACTCTAAATCTGTAAGATTTACTTAAATACTTTATTTTGTCCTGACTGGCACTGTAAAATAATTTTTATTAAATACAAATACTCAAAAGCCACTGCACCGATTTTGATGAAATTTTCACAATTTCTTAAAACATAAGAGGAGCATGTTTAGGTTATATGTATTTGTTTGCTTATCTGATAAATTGATCCAGCGTTATGGTGAAAAATGTGAACACTACTTTTTGCCCACATATTGTCCCATATAAAAACATAAGAGGTTTAAGGAAGGAAGGAAAATATTTTTGAAGAGAGTTGCCACATGTTCGAAAATTTTAGTTCGATTAAAGTGACAACATAAATAAGATATTATTACAATTAGGGGATTAAACAAAAGCGGCTTAAGAAAGCCTAATTTTCAAAATTTATTTCGAGAGTGTTGCCATCTCTGAAAAATTTAACTAAACGAAAAATTGTATATGGTAAATGAAATGTTGCAGTAAGGACGTCAAAATAAAGTGGTTTAAGAAATCTTAGTTTGGAAAATATGTTTAAACAGAGTTGCCACTTATTTCAAAACTTTTAATTCAATTAAATCGATAAGATATATTAAATATTACAGTTTTGGCATCAAAGGAAAGGAAAGGTATTTACACAAATCTTCGCCTTATAAACATCTTTCATCTGCGTTATCACCAATCTAAAAAGTTAAGTTTAAAAATTTAAAACTCAATGAAACGACCCCAGATGTGTAACATACGAAAGGTGTTTGAAAAAGCTTTAGCAGAATGAAAATAAAATTTCCAAGCTTTTTGATCCAGATATTTTTCAAAGCGATTGCAGCTGATATTAATTTTTATACTGAGGGTTGAAATACAAATTTTAAATGTTTACGAGACATAAATAAAGTCAGACAATTTTCGGGATTTGGCGTTTGGGGTTTTCTGCTTATAAAATATCTAATGTTCTATCTGCATTAAAAATGTAAGTGTCATCTACCTACCCATTTCATGGTACTTAACTTGAAAATTTTACTGCTACATTTATTGGAGGTAAAAAAAATTAGTAACATGAAATTTGACCGTCTACATGGAATAAGCAGTGGCTTAGAATTCGCAAGCTTCCTTAATTAAATGGATTCCATATAAAATTTTCAGAACAGAAACATACCTCTTATTATACATGATATATTTGGTATGTTCAACTGAAGGGCTAAAAAACTGGCATTTGTTACGTCCGGATGTGTACAATTTATTACATTTATCAAGTCGCGTTTCGTTTTTTCATAAAAAAGTATTTTAGATTAACAAAAGCCCCGATTAAATTGAATTTAGGTACATTTTACAATATCTTTTTTTTTAAGAAATAAAGTTATTATGGAATTTTGGAAAATGGCCGTAATACCGCCCACATATAACTACATATGTAACGTTATTTCATTAAGTCTAACTGAACATACATACTTTGTTTGAAATAAGGTTTAAGGTTTAAAGCACAATGATTTTTTCAACGAAATTATGGTTTGATTTTTTCATAGTTAATAAGCCTATTGTATGAAATGTGATTCAAGTTGAACATTTGAGCACAAATTCATATGTATGGCAGTGGCTAAATGTACAGAGGTGCTTGTTGTTATTTATTGGCTTCCCGCAGTACGAATGCCGTCAGCGCGATACATAATTTTTATTTTCTTTCTGTTTTTTGGGTTTTTCTTAATTACGAAAAAAATTTATTCAGGTTGAACATTTGAAGGCCGGTTTATAAAGCGGCTCTAGCTAAGTGGGTTGGGTACGGATGCTTGCTGTTATTTGCTAATCTGTCAGAGGTAACGTGTTAAAATGATTATAAAAATTTGTGTTTTGCATCTATGAATTATGAAAAAGCATCGTATTCTCAACTGCTACCATTCAGTAGGGTGGAAAAGTGTTCCCTCCATAATTTATGTACTTTCTGGACATCGGTCACTAGGTCGCCGTTGTTGTTCTTAAAAGAGTTCGCCCTGGTATTGAAAACTTCCTAAGTCGCCTAACTCTCTGATAAAACTATCGGCCGTTTTTCCTCTCGACCAGCATTTAAAGCTCTTCGCACTCACTTACTTCGGCCTCTGTCTTCTTTTGGGCGCAAATACATATCGCTTCCCTTTTCATTCCCCTATAACGGTCCCACATAGCGCGCGTTGCACCCGATCGCAGCGTAGGCCTGTAGGCGACAGTTAATCTTTCGCGTTCGCTGAAATCCGACCATTTCCTATACGGCGGTACTTAATGAGCGGGATATGTGGGATATGTGAAATATGCTCTCACACAGCTGCTGTGAGAGTCGAGTGGGAAATAAGTTGGCCGTTTGTTGTGATTGTCGAGGCTTAGGCAGGGGATGTTTTTGAAAGAATCAATACGATGAGCCAGCGTAACGTTCCCAATGGATATCTTAATGTTTATTGAAGGCTTAGGGACTTTCAATATCGACACAAAACCTGCTTTCGGATGCAGTACAGGAGGCTACTTTGTAATGCGACACGAAAGAGCAAAGCGATGCGATCCTTAATAATATGCAGTGACGATCGCCTATTGCATCGCATTTTTCCTTCATATTACATTGCGGAGTAGCTCCTCAGATTTTGCTTCATTTAGATCTCTTAACGCTCAGGGGAATATGGCGAATCTGCATGACAGACGGACTTGCGAAGCAAGGTAGACAGAGAGAAATCCAAATTAAATGTTATAAAAACTTATTTGAATTAGTTTGGTGACTGCACTTCCGCCCGCGAGCTAAATGTCCAGGCTTGGTTTGCATATCCGCTGATTCGCATAAAGTGATATCAAAATAATGTAAATTTTGGTTAATTTCATTTACAATAAGCACTCGAAACTGCTCTTTGGACTATTAGCATTGACTGTACTTGCGGCTCAGGCACCCACTATTGATGGCGCTAGAATACTCGCTGTATACGCACACCCGGCCAGTAGTCACTACCAGATGCATCGAGTTTTGATTAGCGAGGTGGTGAAACATGGCCATCAGGTAGGAACAGTGTTATGTAAAATTGTTCGCTTTTTTATTAAATCAAACACGCTTTTTCCCACCTTTGCATATTTAGGTGACCATGATCACCGCATTCACACTTGAGCCACTCAAATTGGGCAGCAATTATACGGAGATACTCATTGAGCCGGTGTACGATTACTGGAAGCTACGTGAGTTGCACCTATATACTTTCCTTGCTAAAACTTTCTTATTATTAGATGTTTCGTTGCAAATTGGTTACAGTTAACAAAAATGCCGATACAAGTACAGTTTACGAAATGAAAAGTGATGCCCTATCTGCATTTAAAATGTTTGAAATTGTGGCTTTGGAGACTACCGAACACGCTTTGAAACAACGTAAAGTCCAGTCAATTATTAATGCGACAAAGACCGATGGCGTCTACGATTTGCTATTGGTAGAGCAGTTACATCAAGAAGCTTTTCTTGCCTTGGCTCACATTTATAAGGTGCCTGTAGTGAGCTCTCAAACTTTTGCCAAGCAACTGTACATGAGTCAAATGTTCGGCATGATTTCACCATGGTCATACATACCACATGGTCTACTACCTCTTACTGAGCGTATGAATTTTTGGGAACGAGCTTATAATAGTTATATTTCATTACACAATGACTTTCATTTAGAATTTAGTTATTTTCCTAAAATGGACGCATTGGTGAAGAAATACTTTGGACATTTGCCAAGTAAGAAACAAATATTACCCTATTACAGTCGTTATTATTTACTAATATTTTGTTTTGAAATTATTCGCAGTTCTATTCCCCAGTATTTCAGAGATGAACAGAAATCTCTCTGCTACTTTCATCAATAACTACACTCCTTTAGCGTCCGCAACACCAACAATGGATAACATAATTAATGTCGGTGGTCTGCATATCAATCATCCGAAGCCATTACCCGCCGATTTACAAATGTTCTTAGATGACGCCGAACAAGGCGTCATTTACTTTAGCTTCGGTACACAAGTACATGCCAAGGATATGCCGCTTGAGAAGCTAAACATATTCATCGATGTCTTCCGCCAGCTAAAGCAACGCGTTTTGTGGAAGTTCGAAAATGCCAGCATACCAAATTTGCCAGCCAATCTTATGACTAGAGACTGGTTGCCACAAAATGACATTTTAGCGCACCCTAATGTACGCGCTTTTATCTCTCACGGTGGGCTATTTGGCACCCAAGAAGCTGTTTATCATGGCGTACCGGTGCTGGGCATTCCGTTCCTCTTCGATCAGGTGAACTTAAAATGAAACAATAAAAATTAATTTTTCGAGCACTTCAATTTCTTCCTAACTAACCAATTTTCGTTCACCAGCAATTAAATTTGAAGAAAGCCGAGCTTGGTGGATTTGCCGTAGTTTTGGATTTCCATACAATAACACGTGAAACTTTGAAGCGTGGTCTAGAGCAGTTGCTCTTCAACCCCACCTACCGGGATACATCCAAAAAGTTCTCGCGTATTTTCCGCGATCGTCCAATGGGTCCGCGTGAGACGTTACTCTATTGGATCGACTATGTTATACGTCATAATGGAGCGCGTCATTTACGCGCTTCTGGCATGGATTTGAAGTGGTACCAATTCTATTTACTGGATGTTGCTGCTCTGGTGGTGGCTGCTGTGGCAGTGGCAGGTGGATTGGTTACTTTCACAATACGTTGGGTCATCCGTAGATTAAACAAGTGGGGCAGCAAACAAAAAGTTCATTGAGAAATTAAAATGTATGGGCTAAAGAAGTACTTAGCGTTTAAGTTATTAGTGGGAGAGTCACCCAGTTTTGCACCCGTTTTGCTCATATCATATTATTTAACACTAACAGCTTATAATTATATGTATATATATAAGGTTTCAATTCTACATCGTTTGGTGTCTATCAATAAGCGTAAAATATAACTGTTTGTTAAGAACTTGGTGCGAATAATCTATATTTAATGAAGGAAGTAAGTAAGTAATAGGTGTCTGTCACCTAAAGAAATATTGTTGAATTACACGTCTATGATAGGACCCGTTAACACCACCTACCGTCAATTATTATTATCAGCTGCGGGAATGTCTTTAAGGCCACCTTGTAGGCTTAAAAGAAATATGCGGTGGTATGATGACATCGACTTGACCCGCTCATCCCAAATGGTTGCTACAAAATGACATTTAAGCACACCCTAATGTACACGCGATCTGACAGTGGGCTTTTTGGCACACAAGAAACCGTTTATCCATGGCACACTGGTTCTAAGCATGCAAGTAAAAATACTTCCAGCAGGTGGACTTAATATGAACAAAAAAAAATGTTTTTCATGCGTTTAAATGTTTTTCTAACCAACCTCAATTTTTTCCCCAGCAAATGACTTTTCGGCTCCGGATCATTTGCTCTCCAACTCCACCATTTGAAATAATGCAAAACGGATTTGGTTGCTATAGTGGTGGCTACTGCGTTGGTTAGAACGTAGGGTTTTGCAGAAGGTGAAGCGTGGTAGAAGCAAAAAACAATCAGTAAAGAAAACATTTAATAACACTGGTTTACAGCAAAAATGTTCTTTGGATACCGCTATCCAATTCCTATATAGAATCGCTCGGTGATACCGAAAATCAAGTTAATTTTTTTTCTATGGATACGTTTTCGAGATATCAAAAAAATCAAGTTACTGATGAAGAAAATCGATGGATAAATACGAAATAATGAGTGGTCAAATAAAAATGCGCAAGACTATTTTTATGAAAATTGAGCACGAAAGAAGTTACTCATACGCCGCGTACACCTACAGAAGTAACACGCTTTTTTGCTCATATTTCATACAACAAACCTTTGCGGTTTTTCATGTGACCATCGATTTTCTTCATCAGTAACTCGATTTTTATTTTTTTTTGTAACAGAACAGGCTTTAGTACAAATGCAAAAATTTGGCACAGAACCTGTTTTTTTTTCTTCTGTTAAAGTTTGACTTTTTTCATTTTTTCATTAAAAAATAAAAAGGCTGGAATGATGAATTAATTTGTCAGAAACTATAAGCCCTATGGGAAAGTGATGTATATACGGTTTATGGAGAATTTCATTGGCTTTCGTTTGCTGTATTTTATATTAAGATTTTTAAATTGGTTCGTAGGTTATACGTGATTAAAATGAACCAATTTTAATTTTTATTTTTTTTAGTATTAAAATGAAATGTTAATAAGCCACAATAACATTGACAGGAACCAAATTAAAATTTGTGATCCAGTGTAATCGATCCTGTTATGGTTGTCGACTTCGACATCGATGGAATTTTTTCATCAAAAAATAGCCATCGCAAATCCAACTTCAATTACGCTGACCACAGTGTTTGACCGGAAAGGTGTTTCTTGCAGAATTACTGTGGTCAGCGTAGCTGGAGTTGGACTTACGAGGGCTATTTTTTGATGAAGAAATTTTATCGACGTCGCAGGCGACTAGGAATATCGATTTTATTAGCTTCATTTATATACATCAGAAGTTGCTAAGAACCTAGAATTTGTGATGAAATAAAACAAAAAAGTATTTAGCTTGACAATAATTGTTAATAAATATTAGAAAGATAAGCTCACCTTGAGAACACTTGTTTGAGTCACTGTAGGAACTAAAATCTGTTTGTTGTGTCGCGATTGCTTTATCAAACACATAAGATAAGTTCATTCGGTTAGTGATAGCATGAGTTATCTTTTGTTTACTTGTATATTACTCTGCATTTTTTGGGAGTCTTTTGGCAAGTCAGCGTTTGTTACTTTTATTCCATACGTGAAGGTGATAACGTAGCAATCAGTATTTCTTTTTCGATTTAAGATATATTGTTTGTGTCTTTATTGCACTATTTGTTAATTTAAAATTAATCAGTTAAGCTAATGTGGAGTGTTGCTCTCAATGAATGATATAGTATATAGAAATTATCTCTTCATTAAGTATGAAAAACGATCCGTATTAGAATATAAATTATGCGAACTCATAAGGGGAAGTGGGCGAGGAGCGATGAAGAGAAAGAAATAGCTATTATTCATCATTTTCATTCTTTAACCCAATGCCCTATTTTAATAACTAATAATAACCCAACCACAAATTTCATTCGATTCAAATTCAACGATAAAAGAAATACCATATCCAGTGATATTCAAAACAATAAACAGATGAAAATATACCCACCTGACTTTTTATGCGTTAGAGGAACAGTTATATGTAGATATTGGCATGGAACTTGCTGCAGTATTTAGTCCGGAAGCGTACGTGGCTGTTCAAGCCCAAGTTAAAGTCAAATATTATTTGTTTGAATATATATATTTGGATATCGAATTTGCCGAATGCTGCCATGGTAACGAGGTAGCGTAGTGTGGAACATAGTAAAATACCACTCTTTTTTCATGTGATTAACAAATTTGTACTAAGTGGCTATAGCAAACCGTATCTAATTGCATTTAGTTTGTTTATTTATTGTATCAATGATTTGCATCTCAGTTTTAATCTAGAAAAGTGTTTATGGGTACTACATTACTTGACTGTGTAGGTACAGATATCAATATGTTTGTCTGATTATGTTATCAGTCCTTGCTTTCGAGCATAAGAATGTAAAGTTGAAATACTGTTGCCATCATTCTCTAATATAATTGAATTATCATTTGTACATTTTCGCCGTTACAGAGTAGTGTGTTTGCAAAGTTGTAATTGAGCTGAACTCATTTTCATTAAAAATTTCGAGACAACAACACTCTGTGGCTGACAAATATATAAAAGTACAAATCGTGTGATCCCTGCTTTCGGCTCTAGATCAAGTAACTTGAGTATTCTTACTACCCACCTGCTTGCTTTTGCAAAAACTTCCCAAACATAAGCTTGCAGGAAATGAGCAGGATTCCTAACCTCTTCCAGGACGGTGAAAGTGGTGGAGAAGTACTATTTATTGTAATTTTGTGAGCTTTTTCGTTTCCATGTATGTACTTATGTTACAATGCCCTTATTTTGCGATCAATTGCCAAGCAAACCGCCCACATTCGCTCACATTGAAGGATTTGCGGCAGTTCACTGCCGATTCCAGAATCAGATGCCTAAAGAGTAACTGTACTTCTAACTTTCAATGGCGTTTTCGTTTCTACAAAAACGGTTGCCTTCTCATTGCCCTCTTCTTAGTTTTTGTGCCCGTAGAGGCCAAAGAGAAGGTTATATTTTTCGGTAGAAACGAAAACGCCATAAGTCTTTGCACTGTTTACGTAACTTGGCAGCTCTTAGTGGAGATAGCAAGTTATGAATGAAATAGTAATCGTTTAGTTTATCAATCAAAATTTTGAAACTTCATTAATATATGTATTATATAAATCCAAAGAAATAACACATTAGCATTTTAGTACAGGTACATTCTTCTCAAAGTGCAGTGGCCAGCCTTGCGACCCAAAGTGAAAAGTCCGAAATTAATAAATGAACAAATAATTTAATAAAAATATACAGTTTTAGTTACACAAAATAAATAAAATGGTAATTGTATAATTATAACCTTAAGCCAAAGGAAATAAAAACAGGAAATTTGTAAAAAATTAAAAAAAAAATTAAATAAAAAGAATGTGTGAAAATGATTAGCACCGCATGTGTTTTTATAAATTTACTAAAATAATTTGGCTGGTAGCATTTGTTTTTTATAATTTTTTATTAGAATTATTCTAAGAAAATTTTTAATTATTTCCTCTGGGATAGAAAAAGAACAGCAAAGATGAGACAGTTCAAATTGCGCCGTAAAAATATAAAAATAATATAGGCCCTTCTATTGGAATGAGAAGCCTAAAACTATAAAGTGTTTCGATAAAATACAAAATATTCTCTTATCTGCGCCACTCAGTAGTCAATTGGACAGACGCATTTTGTTTTAGAAAACACTTACTTACATATAATTGATAATACAGTTATGTTATCAAAAAAAATAGTTTTTGGAAATATGCCATCTCAAAGAAATTGAAAAAAATCACAATGGTAGCTCTGAGTATTGTGCAATATTTAACTATAGTATTATGGGGTATACTCTACAATAATTTGAGCTATGAATTTTTTTACGCAGAAGCTCAACATTACAAATTTACAAATTTTTTAAATTTTTTCGATTTTTCATTTGAGTACGCCGTTGATTTTTAATAATTTTTATGCTGACAGCTTTTTGCACTCTTTTCTTGCGGAAGAAAGTGCGCAAAGAAAATTAAAAAAAAAATAACATCAGTTGTGCAATCGCTTTGCACTTGTACTTTGTTTTTCTAAATTTAATGGCTACAAAACTGCATACTCAAAAAAAAAATTCTAAGTAAATATTGTGCAATACTCAGAGCTACCATTGTAATCTTTTATAATTTTTTTACCAAAAAATTTGTTTGTGAAAAATTTTTCAAGAAAAAAAATATTTCTTTCATAGGGAATTTTAATGTGTGTATGTGTGATTTTTTCCAAATTTTTTCCTCGGCCCGGTCTCGACTTATTTTGAAAACTATTAAAACGATTTGTTTTTGTTTTTGTGCTGTAAATTTTTTGAAAATGTATTAATCAAGATCAAATTTCATATTTATTTATTATTTATGTTTATGCATTTGAAACAAATCACGCTTTTGTGCATTCAATTTGAGTCTTTCTCGGGTCCGGTAAGCGAATCCGTTGTCAACGAATTAAAAAAACAAAAACCCGATTGAACCTTAGTGCGCTAGTTATCTAATTTGGATGAACCTGGTATAAATGGAAGTGGGTATATGAATTAACGAATCGATTGATCGTCTTCAGAGATTTGGAGTAAAAAATTAAGCAGGATTCTTTTAAATTTGAAATCTCTGAAAAGCAGGAGCTCTGTCCTCTCTTTAACTTTTGTTCTTAGTGTCCGGCCCTTTTAGAGAAAATAAATTTTAATGTTCCGAGAAGGGTACCACGTAGTTACTATCCGTTGTATGGCAATAATAATAGAACTAACTATGCCCGTAATGCACCTCTTAGCCGTGCCTTAATTGAACTTAACCAGATCTCAACTTTTATCGAGCTTGATTTTCCTAACCAGCTTAGGCCACTTTTGTGTTTATGGTGGAGAAATTAAAATAAATGCCAAAATAATCTTTGTAACGCTACGTAGCTTTGTAATTTAAAATTGATAAATCAACGAATTTTACTATAAAATTTACCATATTCGAAATTATTTTATGCAATAAAGTACAAAACAAAAAAATGTGGGTTAGGCATAGGGTTGCCAACCGTACTATAATATATAGTATAGTACTATTTTTTGTGTAAAATGGCAACATTTTTAAAAATACTTGGAAAGATTTACCAAATTTACTTAAAATTATTTCGCTTATGCTCTCTATTCCTGCAACTTCAGCATTCACAGTAAGAGTTTTTTTTATTATGATTGTGAAATGGTGAGCTGAGGGAAATAAAGCGACTATCTCACTATATATATTTGAAGTGTACTATATTTTTTTCAGATATTTTTGAAAAAGTACTATCAGTTTCTAAGAAAATGTTGGCAACCCTAGTTGGGTTCCTTCAGCTATCACGGTCTGATTTTATACCTAATTTTCTCCCTAATAGCCCAGAATAACCCCAAAATCTATTGAGACATACCCAAACTGTCAACACGGACTACTGTGCAATTTCTGATATGAAATTTAAAATATGCACTACATATATTATTATACATACACTAATTATATACTGCTGTTATTTAAATACTAATTCATCAATTCATTTCGTACAGCGTTCGGCAATATTCGGCAGCCTGTTGGCACTCGCCATACTAGTCGCTCAAGGACCAAATGCGGATGCCGCCAGAATACTAGCAGTCTACGCCTTCCCAGCGAAAAGTCACTTTATGATGCATCGGGTCTTGATTAATGAGTTGGTGAAGCACGGACATCAGGTAAGAAAATAGTTACGCTCAAAATTTACATTACACTATTGAAGAGTTTATTCTTTTAACCAACTGTAGGTCACCATGATTACAGCGCACACATTTGAGTCACTCAAACTAGGCAGCAACTTCACTGAGATACTCATTGAGCCGGAGTACAGTTTTTACACGAAGGGTGAGTGTCAAATTGCACATACCTACTCAATTACACATTAACGAATTTTAACATATTTGTACACTACCGTTACAGTTAACACCTCGGTTCAGCTTTTCTCTATGAAATGAAAAACGATGTGGCCCTGTTTCAAAAATTGGTTGAAATTCTGGGCGAGGCCACCACGGACCATGCGCTTAAACTACCAAAAGTACAGGCAATTATTAATGCCAAACAAACGGAAGATGTGTATGCTTTGCTGCTAGTGGAACAATTCTTTCAAGATGCGTTTCTTGCCTTGGCCCATATCTACAAAGTGCCTGTGGTGAGCACTGCAACATTTGCCCAACAGAATTTCATGAGTCAAATGTTCGGCTTAATTACGCCTTGGTCATATGTACCAATGGGCTTCCTGCCACTAACCGAACGCATGAGCTTTTGGGAGAGAATTACCAACACCTACTATTCACTTCGCCTGGACATAGAGCGAGAATTTAGTTACTTTCCAAAAATGGATGAGCTTGTAAAGAAATATTTTGGACATTTGCCAAGTAAGAAGCTTACAGATATTTGTAAAGAAAAATAAAATAACTAATTTTCCTTGTATTTTTTTTTTAAGTAAAATTTCCTAGTGCTTCGGCGATGAGCAGGAATCTCTCGGCCATATTGATCAATAACTATACGCCCTTAGCTTTGCCATTAACTTAGAATTCCATACACTTACACGTGAAACCTTGAAGCGTGGTCTGGAGCAATTGCTCTTCAACCCAACATATCGGGATACTGCCAAACGGTTCTCGCGCATTTTCCGCGATCGTCCAATGGGTCCGCGTGAGACGGCGCTTTATTGGATCGAATATGTGCTACGCCACAATGGAGCGCGTCATTTGCGTGCTGCTGGCTTGGATTTGAAGTGGTACCAATTCTATTTACTGGATGTTGCTACTCTGGTGGCGGCTGCTGTAGGGGCGGCTATAGGAGTTGCTGTTTTGTTACTGCGCTGTGGTCTGGGAAAAGTCAGCGGTTTAAAAGGCAAACAGAAAGTACAATAAATTAATTTTAAGGACTCGAGTTGGCTGCGGCCGTGGCCATGGTCGAGTGAGTTTATACTGTGTTTTATTATTAAAAATGTTTTAAGGTAAGAAAGAAAACTTCCTGCTTCAACTCATATCTGGAATGTATTGCAATTAAAATCTATTTATTTCATAAAAAAGCTTTCCAAAATTTTATAATATAAGTTCTACTTAATTTAATGGCATCACTTTATAATTAATAACAAATATCTTATTGAAGTGAAGTAATTGAACCTATCCCAGGTCATCAAGTTGACCCTCTGTTCAATCCCAATATCCACTGTGACCGCATGGGTGGCGAGCTTACTACTCGTAGGCTCTGGACGCTCGGGGATTATGCTGCTCTTCTCCCACCTCGTTCAAATTTTTGTAAGTGGAACTAGCTTTTCGACTTGCTGGACCTAAACGTGTCATGGTATTACTGATGGTGGATGCCGTTGACTACGTTTGCTTTCTGGCGTGTGAAGCCAGAAAACGGTGTGGAGATGATCCAGCAGATCGAGATTAAGAGCAAATTGTTGCTGCGCTTGGTCGACCTGCAAGAGGCACTCGGTGAGAAGGATGAACCAGAAAATCAGACAGAAAATAGGGCGCGAGATACAGCGATGGAACCGCTAGCAGCACCAGTCGTAGTGAACGGCGAGCGAGTGATCGAACCAGATGGGGCGCACACTTCGATGGCGGGAAGTTAGGCATGTCTGTTCACATATTTAGAATAGGTCGACGAGAAATGCCTTGGGGACTGGCGTCTTAGGGTGAATGAGAGTAAGTAAGTGCATTCAAACAACATTAACAATAAAAATAAATAAACGTGCCCACCTCTACAAGAAAACGGAAAATCCATACTAAAAAATGGCTCTGAATAGAAATTTAGCCTGGAATAGCGCGATCAAATCATGCTGGGCGTATGGAATCAGTCCCTGGGGAACAGCTTGCAACTCCAGTATTAATAAAATATAAAGACTACAGTAAAAAAATACGCGGAGCGCCGTGGTACATAAAAAAAATCAACTTACTGAATTATCTACAGTTAAATACATCAGCATCACATCTGCTATTCAATTCGATTACAGAACAATTTAAATCCTTCTTTCTGGAAGACGCAGGGCTTCGAGAAGGTTAAAAAGAAAGGATTTTGCCTACGTATGAAATTGAAATGCATAAATGGATATAAAATATATATATTAACCATACATACATACATAAAAAAAGGTAGTTTCATTTAATGACATACGTTGTTGTTGTTAACCATTTGACTTTTAATAAAATTATGACATTTCATCAAATTCATGCTACCTGATCACTAGAAGAAGTTTTTTTTTTAAGCAGAACATTTTATTTTATGGACTTGAAAATTATGCCGGCTACATAATTTCGAAAATGGGGTTGACGACTAGGTTTCAGAACGCATGAAGAAGGTGTATTCTTACATATTGTCGTTTAAAGTACTAAACCGCGTATCGTCGTTATGCAAACTGACATTTTTTGCCAAAAATTGGATTTGCTCACACAAGCTCTTGGTTCAAGCCTTATCCATTCGTCCTGAAATGCAATTTCTTTATAAAAAAAGAGAACCATTTTGAAATATGAGTGTTTTTACTCTCTAGAAAATAATTTATGCAACCTCACTTACGCGGTTTTGCATTTCAAGTTAAAAATTTGTGAAAGTAAATGGTGAAATTTCGCAAATAAAAGAAGTCCCGATTCCCGAAGCACCTTCGATGTCATTGCCATTACTAACCCGGGCCTATGATAATTAAGGGATCGGTAAATTCCTGGCGTTCTTCCCAGCGGTTAGCGTACCTCGTTTCATGGTTGCGTGATTGTGAAATAGGCAATTCAGAAATCAAAAAATTGAATTAATTTTTGAATTGAAATTTGCAGCAAATCTTAAGAAATGAAAATGCATTATTTGTTTGAAGAATCTAATCATGAATTAAATTTATTTGTGATTTGATGCGTCCAAGAAATAAAAAACTGATTTTATTATTATTTATTACATTATTGGCAAACCTAATCACAAATAAACTTGATCTTTTATTTTTCCAACGAATGATAAATAAATTTCTTGATTGTCCGACACTAATAAAATTTATGTTTAATTTAGTCGATAAATCAAATCACAAAGCATATAGATTTCTTAATTAAACGCGGATTGAAATCAAAATCCTTGGTAGCCTTGCGCCCAGCAAACAACGACTAATCGTAGTGTGAAACATATTAAAATAATATTCTTTTCATGTGATTAACACTAAGTGGCTATAACAAACCGTATCTAATTGCAATTAGTTTGTTTATTTATTGTATCAACGATTTGCATCTCAGTTCTTATCTAGAAAAGTGTTTATGTAGTACCCATTACTTGACTGCGTGGGTTTATATACCCTTTCGTTTATATGTATGTATGTCTAGGGATGGCAGCGATTAATCATTTCATTAAATCAATCGATTTTTTTTGTCCAATTTACGATTCAATTGCATCATAGTTTTTGTTTAATTAATCGATTAATTCTGAAATAATCGTAAAAATATTTTCAGGAAATATGAATTCTGTAGTTGACTAAAATCCATTTATCGAACATTCTTCTTTGCTAGCTGCATCAACTTTACTCGGCCCGAGTTTTTCAAAAAACATCCGTTAGCATTGGCATCAGTAATGAAGTTCTTGCGAAATGAAATAATGTGCGCAGATGATTTTATGGAAACGATCTTCGACTTCGATCTATGGTCCACTCATATATCTCTTGTACACAAACGAAGGTGATTTGGGTCACTCGCAAGATTAAATGAGTTTTTATTTTGATTGTCAAGTCCTAGAACTAAAGCGGAATATCATCGAAGCTTGGGAGTAAATGAAAACTGTTTCGAAAAAATATCGTAATTTAGTTGGTACAGCCACCGAGGAACGCAACTACTCAACAACAACACGCTTATCAAATTTTCGTTTTTGCAAGCTTGGTTAAATAATAAATAATTATCGCCGCTAAAAGTGCTCGTTTTATTATATTTAAGGCTAATTAACAAGAGAATTAGAAATTTTGTATGGAAAATTGTTTTTGGGAATACTCACTGTAAAAAAGTGCCTTTGAAAATTCGGTTAATCGATTCTTTCTCAATAATTGCAGTTAATTTTTTTTGGTTGTGATTAATCACATGATTAATTAATCGATTATTTTATTTTATTTTTGCCATTCCTATGTATGTCTGATTATGTTATCAATCCTTGCATTAGATTGTAAAGTGGAAATAGTGTTGCCATCATTTTCTAATAATTTCACAGTATTGTTCTTGAATTAACTGAATTATCATTGCTTTAAGTTGGGAACGCACGAAGATTTGTGCATTTTCGTCGTTACACAGTGGTGTTGTTTCCAAAGTTGTAATTTAGCTGAACTCATTCTCGATAAAAATTTCGAGACAACAACACTCTGTGACTGACACATATACAAATGTACAAATCGTGTGATCCCTGCGTTGGGCTGTTTACCCACCTGCTTGCTTTGGCTAAAACTTCCTTATCATAAGCTTGCAGGAAATGAGTAGGATTCCTAACCTCTTCCAGGACGGTGAAAGTGGTGTAGAAGTACTATTTATTGTAATTTTGTGAGCTTTTTCGTTTCCATGTACATATGTATTTACTATGTTACAATGCCTTTGTTTTGAGAGCATCTGCAAAGCGAACCATCCTTCCCTCACATTGAAGGATTTGCGGCAATTCACTGCCGATTCCAGAATCATACTATGCCTAAAGGGCAACTTTACTTCCAATTTCTAATGGCGTTTTCGTTTCTACAAAAAATTTTACCTTCTCATTGGCAAAGATAAGGTTGCATTTTTTCGATAGAAACGAAAACGCCATAAGTCTTTGCACTGTCTACGTAACTTGGCAGCACTTATTGGAGATAGCAAGTTATGGGATTCCGAATGAAACAGTTATCTTTCAGTTTATCAATAAAAACTTTGAAATTTCATTTAAATATGTATTATATAAATCCAAGGAAATGACATATTATCATTTCAGTACAGGTACATTCTTCTCAAAGTGCAGTGACCAGCCTTGCGACCCAAAGTAAAAAGTCCGAAATTATTAAATGAATAAATAATTTAATAAAAAGATACAGTTTTAGTTGCACAAAATAAATAAAATGGTAATTGTTTATAACCTTAAGCCAAAGGAAATAAAAACAGGAAATTTGTAATAAAGTAAAAAAGAAATATTTAATAAAAAGAGTGCGTGAAAATGATTAGCAACACATGTTTTTTATAAATTTATTAAAATAATTTGGCTGGTTACATATGTGTTTTTATACTTTTTTATTTAAATTATTCTAAGAAAATTTTTAATTATTTTCTCTGGTATAGGAAAAGAACAGTAAGGCTGATAAAGTTCCAATTGCGCTGTAAAAATATAGAAATAAGATAGGCCTTAAACTATAAAGTGTTTCGATAAAATACAAAATATTCTCTTATCTGCGCCACTCAGTAGTCAATTGGACACATGCGTTTTGTTTTAGCAAACACTTACATATAATTGATAATACTTTTATGTTAACTTGTTAGCTTGTGGGTGTCGTTCAGTGCTAAAGAAAAAAAAATAATAATTTGGCTACATCTTTTCCGTTAATTTGTAAGTAAATATGAGTTTCAAACTGAGTCTGAATTTGCTAATTATAGTATATACAGCTTGTTTTTCATAATTCGTGGTATGTGTATCTTGTGGCATTCGCTCGCGCTTTTGTGCATTCAATGAATGGCGGTGGTTTTTCCGGTTTTGCATTAAAAGGATTATTAATATTTGGCCAGAAATAATGCCGAGCTACTATGTACATCAGACGCAGTTCTAAAGAACTCAATAGGGGTCTTCATCAAAAGTGATAAACTGTTGATAAACTTGATAAAATGATAAACTTATCATTTTGATAAATAAACTGTCAAACTTTGTATGGAAATTTATTTAACCAAACGATTTTCGTGGATAAACTGTAAATTTCAGTAAAATTCAACCCTGACAGTCTGACAGGTTGTCGATTTTACTACGAACACATATAAAGCAAGTTAGCACAATGGCCGAGGTAAGAATGAAGATAAGTTAAATAATAAACAATTTTGTGCAATTATTTACCAAGGTGCCGTCATGAAATAATTCGATTAAACTGATAAATTTAAGCAATTTATCCCATTATCACTTTAGATGTAGACCCCTCATACCTTTAGTATACGCCACACTGTGACAGGTTCTCATATAGATAAGCTGCTGCAACAAATAACAAACGCACTCAAATTTTGCTGAAATATTCTAGAATCTATTTAAATGAAGGAGTGTTCAGAGGAAACCCCTTTCTCACATGCCGGCATGCGTTTTGGATCTATGCCCTTCTTCTGTTACCAGAACATATTATTAGCTGCTAATATCTTACACAATTTAATGAAAGTAGCATAAAATTGGCGCCTTTCTCGAGTCCGAATTTTCTCCGTATTAGCCCAGAATAACCCCAAAATCTAGTGAGGCATACCCAAAATGTCAACACCGACTACTGCGCACTATTTTACTATACACTAATTATTTATTGTTGTTATTTACATAAATACTAATTCATCAACTAATTTTGTACAGCGTTCGGCAATATTCGGCAGCCTGTTGGCACTCGCCATACTAGTCGCTCAAGCACCAAACGTGGATGGCGCCAGAATACTAGCAGTCTACGCCTTCCCAGGCAAAAGTCACTTTATGATGCATCGGGTTTTGATTAGTGAGTTGGTGAAGCACGGACATCAGGTAAGAAAATAATTACGCTCAAATTTTACATTATGCTATTGAAGAGTTTATTCTTTTAACCAACTGTAGGTCACCATGATTACTGCGTACACATTTGAGCCACTCAAACTAGGCAGCAACTACACTGAGATACTCATTGAGCCGGAGTACGATGTTTGGACCAAGAGTGAGTGTTTATGATACGTCAAATTACACATAGCTACTCAATTACACATTAACGAATTTTACCATATTTTGTACACTACCGTTACAGTTAATGAACACGCCGGTTCAACTTCGATCTATGAAATGAAAAACGATGTGACCCTGTTTCTAAATTTGGTTGAAATTTTGGGCGTGGCCACCACGGACCATGCGCTTAAACTACCAAAAGTACAGGCAATTATTAATGCCAAACAAACGGAAGATGTGTATGATTTACTGCTAGTGGAACAATTCTTTCAAGATGCCTTTCTTGCCTTGGCCCATATCTACAAAGTGCCTGTGGTGAGCACTGCAACATTTGCCCAACAGAATTTCATGAGTCAAATGTTCGGCTTAATTACGCCTTGGTCATATGTACCAATGGGCTTCCTGCCACTAACCGAACGCATGAGCTTTTGGGAGAGAATTACCAATACCTACTATTCACTTCGCCTGGACATAGAGCGAGAATTAAGTTACTTTCCAAAAATGGACGAGCTTGTAAAGAAATATTTTGGACATTTGCCAAGTAAGAAGCTTACAGATATTTGTAAAGTAAAATAAAATAACTAATTTTCCTCGTAATTTCTTTTAAGTCCAATTTCCTAGTGTTTCGGCGATGAGTAGGAATCTCTCGGCCGTATTCATCAATAACTATACACCCTTAGCTTCAGCGGAACCTAAAATGGACAACATGATCTGTGTCGGTGGCATGCATATTTATCCGCCAAAGCCACTACCCTCTGATTTAAAGAATTTCTTGGATGATGCAGAGCATGGCGCTATTTATTTCAGTTTGGGCACTCAGGTTGAGAGTAAGGACATGCCACTTGAAAAGCTACACATGTTCCTTGACGTCTTCCGGCAGTTGAAGCAACGCGTCTTGTGGAAATTTGAAAATGAAAGTATAGCGAATTTGCCAGCTAATGTAATGATTAGAAAGTGGTTGCCGCAAAGTGATATCTTGGCGCATCCTAATGTGCGTGTTTTCATTGCACATGGCGGACTCTTTGGCACACAAGAAGCCGTGTATAATGGCGTGCCAATACTAGGTATGCCCTTCTATACTGACCAGGTATATTCATATATATTTCCCAAACCAAAGAAAAACTCACATTATTTGCAAAACCATTTGGATTTCTTCCCTTTAACAGCACCTAAATCTGAGGAAGGCAGCTGCTAATGGCTTTGCCATTAACTTGGAATTCCATACACTTACACGTGAAGCCTTGAAGCGTGGTCTGGAGCAATTGCTCTTCAACCCAACCTATCGGGATACTGCCAAACGGTTCTCGCGCATTTTCCGCGATCGTCCAATGGGTCCGCGTGAGACGGCGCTTTATTGGATCCAATATGTGCTACGCCACAATGGAGCGCGTCATTTGCGTGCTGCTGGCTTGGATTTGAAGTGGTACCAATTCTATTTACTGGATGTTGCTGCTCTGGTGGCGGCTGCTGTAGGGGCGGCTCTAGGAGTTGCTGTTTTGTTAGTGCGCTGGGGTCTGCGAAAAGTCAACGGTTTAAAAGGCAAACAGAAAGTACAATAAATTAATTTTAAGGGCTCGAGTTGGCTGTGGTCGTGGCCATGGTCGAGTGAGTTTATACTGTTTTTTTTTATTAAAAATATTTTAAGGTAAGAAAGAAAACTTCCTGCTGCAACTCGTATCTGGAATGTATTGTAATTTAAATCATATATCTGAATGCATAAATGTCGTCTGAAGAGCAGGTTTAATAAAATATTAATTTTAGTAGCGGCTCACGGGTTTCTTTGATAATCTTCTCGTACCTATAGCTCATAGGAAGCCTGTCTGGTCCTTGTATGTCAGGTATCTAAGTCGAGGTTAGTAGTGACTTGAGTGGAGCGTACTCCGGTGAAGTAATTGAACCTATCCCAGATCATCAAGTTGATGGGTGGCGAGCTTACTACTCTTAGGCACTGGAAGCTCGGGGATTGTATTGCTCTGCCCCCACCTCATTCAAATTTTTGTAAGTGGAACTAGCTTTTCGACTTGCCGTACCTAAGCGTGCCATGGTATTACTGTTGCTGTTTGCTTTCTGGCGTGTGAAGCCGAAAACCGATGTGTAGATGACCCAGCAGATCGAGATGAAGAGAAAATAGTTGCTACGCTTGGTCGATCTGCATTAGTTAAGAAGGATGAACCGGAACAGGCGGAAAATAGGGCGCGAGATACAGCGGTGGAACCAGTATCGAGCCAGACACTTCGATGGCGAGAAGCTAGGCATGTCTTTTCACATGTTTAGAAAAGGTCGACGAGATAATTGAGGTACGCAGCGTAGACCGTGCTCAACTCTTTAGCGATGCGCTTGATCTATTTTCTGTAAGGCATTGTTGTGGTCGAGGTCCGTAAGGCTTTCGCTAGGTAGTTAGGATGAATCAACAAATGAGCTAAAGATTAAGTTTCTGCCCACGGATTCAGGGAGCGAATGACTCCATCGGTTTGTGTGTGACGGGGATGAACATTATGTTCGGTAGGTTATAGGAGCCACTGTCGGAGAGTCAGATATTAGGAATAATAAGGACGAATCATCTGACATTTTATCAGATGTAGCTGGAACTAGTTTCGCCATTTCATTTGCGGAACTAAGCGCTTTGGGTAGGAAGTTAAAATCGGTTAGGTTGTCGGTGTTTAACCACCCCCCTCCCCCCATGCCATAAGGCTAAGGCCCATTGGAATCGGGTCTGGTTAAGGTCTACGCCCGTTGTTTCAATTGCAAGCGGTT